ACTCTCTGTTGCTTTTTACAGATCCAGACTAACACGGCTACCCCGATACATTTTTATTTAGTTACTTACATTTTTCCCTGCTTGTGCTGCATTCGATACAAATATAAATACTTTTTACCAACATAATCTAAAAGCAGACTTCCTAAATGATAAAACTGTCCCACTCCTCTTTGAAAACCTGTGCTATCCCCCAAAGCATCAGTGAATGAGGGACTTTTTAATAGTCATGTAATATGTTTACATATTTCCTTCAGTGTTCACCACATGAATGCACCTTTGTTGTATCATCACATTAGCCAGGGGTTCAAATTTTAAAAAGGCTAGACCTCACAGAAATACCAAGGTCTGCCATCTGGGCCTCCATGAGAACTGGCAACTTGTTAAGTCTCCCATGAGTTTTCCCTCCTTCTACCCTGAGCCATCTGAATTCCCCCGATAGGTCTCTTCTCATCCCTACCTGCTTGCAGAGTGTAAACTCTGTACTTTGTACAGCCCACCACTCAGTCTATCTGCCTTCTCTTACTGCTTCACCCTCTTCTCATTTTGTGCTGGACACTTTATTTGGAGGCAGGGGAGCTGCTATAGATAAACCCGTGGCATTATCTCCTGAGAGGTCCATGTTGGCAGTGACTGCTTAGAGAACCGGCCTGTGCTGAAGGTGAAGGCTACACGGGGCAGTGGAGATGTAATGGGTAACTGGGCTTTTGACTCCTATTGATTTCCACTCCTTTGGGCGTTTCTGGCCATGGACGCTCATTGCTTCAATTTCCCCCAGTAATTCTTTCCCTAAAGCTAAGGAATAAATATCCCAAGATAGGCAAGTGTGGAGGTTAGGATAAAAGCATTAAGGAATCAGAACTTTCCTCACAGTTTCATCTGCTCGTGCAGCATATACCTGTCTCAGCTGGGCAGTCACTTGGCTGCAGTGTAGGAACCTTCAGCCTCTGCCCTTCACAAGAGCTTTTACAAAAGTTTGTGCCTCATGGCTATTAAATAACTGGTAAATAGAACTACACTATTATATAAATCCTGAGAGAAAGGAATAGTAATTTATTCCTGGGGGAATTACTTAGCCTTTTTAACTAGTAATTTCAGTGACACTAGCATTATTTACACAGCCCCCTGGGGTGCAGGACATTTGGTGGTTATAATTTTTTTTACTGAAGATGGACTGTGTCAATTTCTATTTAAATACTGAGAGGGTGACAAAGGGGAAGGGAATACAGCTGAGCAGAGACAGTGTACAGGTTGTGAGGCACAGAGAGTATATATATCCAGCCACATTCTGTGCTGCCGCTTGCAGGAGAGACAACCCAAGAGAGGACTGAGGTGCGAAGGTGGCTTTACTTTACCTTTGCACCTCTGGGATTCTTTCTAGGCCTGGCTGGGGTGGTCTGTCTGGCCTCCTGGAGAGGCTGGGGCAACTCTCACACGTAATCAAGATTATGGCAGTCAGTTCTTGGTGGCCCCAATAGAGAGAGGAATTAATATTAAAGTAATTAAGGATGCGCTATTCTTTCCCATTTCACAAGAAGCCCCAATTATCCAGCCAGCCACACTTAAGTTATGGCATATATTCAACTATTAGTAAATAAAGAGACTTGTAAAGTGTTCACTCTTCAGCCTTCTTCCGTTATGGCCTCTCAGTTTTCAGGCATCATTTCACTTAAGCAGTTCTATGATCAGACAGAGAGAGAGCAAATGATCTCATGGACTCTTACAGCCGTAAAAAAACAGAACAAAAATCAGTTTCTCTCTCTACAACTTCCACTAGATGCAACCTTTGCAGAAATTTAATTTTAGACCAGTTTCATTTTATTTAAACAGAGGAAGTGAAAGCAGTGGTAGACGAAAGTGAAGTGGGTAACCATAATCAGAAACAACAAATAGCCTGCTGAAGAGTGTCATTCTTTTCATGTGTGTCCAAATAAAGACATTGCCTAGCTTTTAAACATTTTTATTAAAGCAAGACAAAAATATTGACATGCTATGTCAAGTGTCGGCCTGCATTTAAATAATGGTATTTGTGTTGCACCTTCACAGGTTCAGTGGCACTGTAGGGCTCGAATGATTGCTGGAGCTAATTTCTACATTGTGGGCCGAGACCCTGCAGGCATGCCCCATCCAGAGACCAAGAAAGACTTGTATGAGCCCACACAAGGAGGGAAGGTCCTTAGCATGGCACCAGGCCTGGCTTCTGTGGAAATCATTCCCTTCAGAGTTGCAGCATACAATAAAGTAGAAAAGGCCATGATTTTCTACGATCCAGAAAGGTAACACAGTGAATGATAACCCTCTTTAAAGTAGCCCATATTATATTTAAATATTATTTAATATTTTAAAGGATTTCTTAATGGTCGCAGTTTAGGAGAAGAAAGGAAAAGTTTTGTAGTATTTTAGATAACTTGGTTGTAAATGAAATAAAAGAACTAAGGGATGAAAAGACCTATGTGAGGCGTCTGTTTGCCTGCCAGCACAGGACACAACACCCAGACAAAGGAGTTAGCGCATGTGAAACTAACGCTATGCTTGATCTTTACCAAAAAGGTTAAGAAACAACAACATTTAGGAAACAACAGTAGAAATACTTCTCCTTATTTTTAGAAAAGTATTTTATATTTAATAATATAATGTAATAGTGAAAATAGAGGTCCTTTTAATAGAGACCCCATTGCTTCTTATTGCTGCTGGTAAATTAGAACATGAAGATAAAGATTTGTGCCATTAGTGCTTACGGAGTTAGTGAAGACATCGTACCAGCAATTTTCAGATTAAATTCTGAGGACAGCAAAAATAATACATTTGAAAAGATTTGGCTTTGATGCATTTAAGGAGATTAGATTTACTGATTTCATCCATATGTCTGTTCTGTGGTAGGCACAATGAATTTGACTTCATCTCTGGAACACGCATGAGAAAGCTTGCTCGGGAAGGCGAAAATCCACCTGATGGGTTCATGGCCCCAAAAGCTTGGAAAGTCTTAACTGAATACTACAAATCACTGGAAAAAAATATTAATTCTATTTTTCCTCAAAAATATGGGTATTAAGAGTGAGCTCTGATTGATTGATTTACTGTATTACAGATCACTTAGTTTGCATTTTCAATACCCTAATGGTAGGATAGAACATTTTCTGTTTTTGAATGTATGTATTTTGGGCCTGGCCCTTCTCCCACTAAATTATTGGGAATTTTCCTTTCAACCTCAAAGGGAGCAGCAGCAGGTCTGTTATTTATAGTAGAATATGGCTCTATATGATGATTGTCCAAAGCCATATTAGGACTGGCCAGTTGGACATCTTTAGTGATGTCATAGTGGTACACCAACCCCCAAAGGTGCACAGTTTGACCTTATAGCCATGATGTAGTTACGTATCCCTTATACTCTTTAAATCAGTTACAAACCGGAAATAGGAAATAAATGATTAACTATATTCCCCTTATTCCTTAAGAAGCTCATCTTCTGCAATGGGCAGAAGGATTTTCTTTAGCACATATAGGGGTTTCTGTTATCCACCACACACCCCTCTCTTTCTAATGCCTCCTACTTACATTTGGACTTTTCAGTCAAGAAACTGAACTAAGCTTTATTGCAGCTCCAAGTTTAGCTTTCTACAGAAAAGAGACAATTTAAAGCAGCCCAGCTTGAGTGCCATGGTGAGGCTGGGAGAAGTGGTGCTTTAACTTTTGAGTCCTGCATTGAGGGCTCCCAGTGGCACTTTCCCTCTCCACCCAGAACTGAAGGGGAGCTGGCCTGCTTTGACTGCAGGAAGCTGTACTAGGAGATGCATGAGGCCCTTAGACTGCTCTCACTTCATCTGTTATATACCAGTGTAATTCCACTGACCAGAATGGAGTTATTTCTGATTTACACTGGTGTATGTGATTTGAGAATCAGGATCCCAGTTCAGCTTATTGAATAAAGAGGCCAAGTTTAGGTGGAGACAGTTTAAAATAGTCTGTTCACACTCTAGAATGTCAAGCTAGCCCCTCTTTCTGGCACTTTCTACCCTCTTTTCTATTACAAAAGCTAATTTAGTCAAATATGATGTTTCCAGTTTCCAATAGAAAAAGGAAACAAACTGGCCACCACTTGTTCCTGAAAGGCCATTTTGGCTCCAGGAGGTTTGGGAAAGGTGTCACTGAGAGAGCTAGAAAAATTACCTTGCTTTGCAGTAAAAATTTTAGAGATAGTGTTTAACACACGTTCCCTTGCTTATGCTTTCCATATAGGAAGGATAGCCCCGACCCCCCAACCCACATCACCCTTCAGAAAGCTTAGCTTTAAACATGGTGGGTTTTTTTGTGTTTTTTTCCAAATTAAGCATATTTCCTGTAACTGCAGTAAGCCCCTCCAGGACGTGCATTAACAGAGTATGGAAGAAGACACTCTCCCATCAGTTTCATGCCCATAATGTACACGTCATGGACCAATAGTCTATTAATGCCCATCATGTTGCAGCTTACTGATATTCTAAAGAGGAAAAAAAATAAGGCACATTCGTTTTCTCACTGTCTGCCAGAGATTGGGGCGAGGGTGAGGAACAGCTGGCTGACGCTCTTTATAGAAAAAACAGTAATGAAAATGGCAGATGGGAAAATATGGTGAATTGTACGTGCCTCTTTAATGGAGAGTGTGTGTGTTGCCTGTTGTTGCTTCATGTGGTAATCTGGGAGACGGGTTAGGATCTCCAGGTGCTATTTGACTGGGGGGATGTAGGGGTTTTTTCCCATCTGGATCTGGCCAGGAGGTTGCAACAGTTTCTTTTGGACATGGGTCTGGCTACTTTGATCAATTCTTGTTTGCCACCTTGTGATTACTAAAGTGAACTCCTTCTGAGAGCTGCACCATAAATCCATCTGGAAACGTAAGCTGGTGCAGGATGTGGCTGATCACTGGGGAAGCAGGCTCACCATGCACACACTCTATTAGTCTTCCAATCTGCATTACCGGCCATTGTGTTTCTGGGTGATGTTGAGGTTGTTGGCTTTGATCTAGAGCGCCCTGATTGGTTTGGAATCTCCCTATGTGAGAAGTCACCTCTCTTCCCTGCACCGTATTGCCATATTTGTAGTCAGCAGAGGCATTGTGTACACTGGAGACCCCTCAGTCTAGAAGAGAAGGAACTGTTAACAGGTTGTCCATGTGGAGACCCAGGCCTAGACTTTGTAATTCACTACTTCCCTAATGGCTCAAATAAGCCCAAATCTTTGACTTAGAACATGCTCCAAAGCCTATCTACTTTCATGGGCTTCTAGGAAGAAGAAAACGTATGAGAGCTGCTGAAGTAATGGTTGGTATTTACTGGAGACTTGTAGGAGCTTATTACCTCCATGAACATGATATTGTGTTATTCATTTTCTAGGGAAAATATACACAGTTATTGTAGGAATTAATATAAGTGATTTCAGTCTCTGATCTTGCAGTTATATCTGTCAGAATACTTTAATGGGTGTCCAAAAACTGGTTAAAAGGTGTTGAAAATGAAATTAATAGCATTCTTCTCATTTTGCAGTTTTAATTATAAAAAGATCTATACATAGTAAAACAATCATGCTTCTGCTTGTAATTTAGTTTAGTAAAATATATATTAAGTGAAATTGTTTTGCTGTGCCCATTGTGCAATGCACATAATTACAGAAGCAATGCAAAATGTTATTTTAAAGCATTTTACTTTTCAAATGTTTCCAGCTTCTTACTGCTTTTAAAAAAATCTAGAGTAAGGAACCAAAAGTTGTATTATACCTCAAAAAATTAAATACTACAAATGTAACACTAGAAGCTAAAAATATATTAAACAATAGTGCCTTTTATATTCAGGCCCTCTGGCAGGAACCTGAAAGACAAAAGTAATACTGTGACTTATAATTAATATTTGATATTTTAAATAGTGGTGTTGCATTTTTTTAACCTTGAAACAAAGTGGTCTGTGAAAAAGCAGTAAATCCAAATGGTTACAGCAAAACAAAAATTAGTCCTTTAAAATAGTGTAGTACACTGAGTCCATTCGCTAGTATTTTTATAGTATATTTATTAAAGACTGGAATTTGTGCCTTGACTGATGCATCTCATGATTCATAATATATTCTGAACTTGATACTCTGTTATTAAACATTTTCTTTTAGTACAAATATATATTTCTATGTCTAAATATTTGCTTGTCATTTTGTGGATTTTTTTTACAACCTTTTTTTTTAAACTAGTAAGCTCAGAGGGGTAAGGAGGCCCCAAAGGCTTTCTGAAATGTATTCAAACCCAAACTTACCTGTAAGGGAATGCAGACTGTCAGCATTAAATTTACATGAGTTCTCCCACTGCCTTGCTACTCCTGGCCTTCTAATCTCCAGGGGTTTGGCAAACATGGGAGAGTAGCCATTGAAACAATGCTAAAAACTTATTGGATCAATACTAGCAGAACCTATTACAGCCAGTTTCCTGAACTATCCCTTCCTTCTTATTACTGTCTTATAGCAAGGTTCCAGCATGAAGATTAACATACCGTATATACTCATTCACAAGCTGGTTCATTTATAAGCTGACTCCCCCCAAGATGAATAAGTAAAAATGGAAATTTTTTATGACCCATTCATAAGCCGACCCTATAATTCAGGGGTCGGCAAACTTTGGCTCCTGGGCCATCAGGATAAGCTGCTGGCGGGCCAAGATGTTTATTTACCACGGAGATAAACCTAAGTAAACGAAGTGTCCCGGCGCGCCAGCTACTTACCCTGAGGGGCCAGGACAGCAACTGGTGGGGAAATTTTGGGGGGGAGAAGCTGGAGGTCAGGGGAGTAACCCTGTGACCACCCCCCCCATGACCCCACCCCAGCCCGGGACCCCCACAATCTCCCCATCCCATCCCTTCCCACCTTAGCTGGGGCAGGCCAGGGGAGGATGTCCAGTGGCGGGGCGGGCGGCATGGCCACAGCGTGCTCTGGCGGGTGGGGCCGGGTGGTGTGGCCACAGCCTGCCACCCCCGGAGCTGCAGCTGCTTCAAAGGCTGGGGGGAGAGCAGCGTGGCCAGAAGTGGAGAGACTCTGCTGCCTCTCCTTGCCCCCTCTGTTGGGGGGAAGGGGCTGTGTCCCACCTCTCCCTCTCTATACCTGTTCATAAGTTGACCCCCTTCTTTGATGCTTCCCTTTTTTACTAAAAAAATTCAGCTTATGAACGAGTATATATGGTAGGAATGCAGGCATTTTATTTAAAAAATACCCCACACATAGGCCACACTATCCCTAACTTCTTAGTAACTACATCAACCCCACATCAGATATAAAAAGCAATTTAGGGATAGTTAGTTTACCCAGTTTTCAGACTCTAACCTGTGAGCACCTACATGCTGCTGGGATCCATTTCCCTATAAAGCCAGAATAAAATGGAGCAGTGGAAATCTTCACTCCCCTCTTGTAGAAGCGGTTGGTATGAAAAAAATTAATTGCTACTACCAAGGTGAAGGAATCAAGTAACTAGGATTCAAGTGAGGGTCTTATACCACCCTGCTCACTGTTCTGAGCACCTTCCTGTAATACATTATTTAATGTAACTGTATCTGTCACGTGGTTTGTTCTCGCTCTCATCCTTTACCGAGCAGGTGGGCAAAATTGTGTGTGAAGTGTAGTGTTACGGCAGTTTATTTTTACTTTTTTTTAAATATCCACGTTAATGTGTAAGAGGAGGCAGGTCAAAGAAGGTAGCTTGAAGTAGTGCACTTTGCACTTAGAGCAGAATGTGGTGAGGTTTGTGATGGTCATTAGTATTGATGAAAGTTGATTCCAGTCTAAGACTGGCCCGAGAAAGTCCGGTCTCCTGCATGCATGAACTTTACCTTTATGGTGGACAACTCCATTATGGCCGAGGAACAGTTGTAGACTACGGTCCTCCTCCTGGAGCTTTGGGCACATTTAGATATCCAGGCCCAAAACACCATGAGACTATTGAAGATAAGGACAAAAACCCTTGAACTTAATATTTTATGGGAAGCCAGTGTAGAGAGCTGAGGCCAGGTTTGATAGGCTTAGAATAGCCAGCATTACTGAGGAGATGCCCTGCAGCACTGTGTGCTAGTTGGAGTTTCCTGAGAGCTTCGTGGCCAGCTATAGTGTATTGCGATAACCTAGACTGGAAGAGATGACAGCGTACGTAACTGAGGCCAGGTTGTCATCTGCCAGGAGAGGATAGATTCTTCTGGCCCCCTAGGTAGGGTAGAAAGCATTATGCACAGATACTGGTGTGAGTTTAGAGGTGGTGAGGAATACCAAAGTACCCCGATCCTTTGGACTGAAACTAACCAGTTGTGAGTGTGTACCTTCACCTAATGAAGGCTGAATGGTGGCTGCAGGAGCATCATCATTCATGGCCACACAAGAGGAAACTCTAATCTCAGAACTCTACTTTCTTCCCACACAGGCACAGAAAGACAGAATTGCTCCAGTCAGAACTCTAGGTGGCATTTTGCCCTCAGGGCTTGGTGAAGAAAAATCCCACCCACAGTCATGAAGGGCTCCCACTCTAGGTCATTGAGAAGTGAAAATTTGGCCAGATGGTGAAGTACTCAGAACCAACTACAGGGACTAAATTTTCAAAAATTGAGTGGTTAAGAGTAAACTTTTCTGCTCAGGGGATGAGCTGATACACTTCAGGCACCATGATCCCCTGCTTATTCGTGTATCTAGTGTGGGTGAGTTGTTGTCCCTATTTTTACTCCCATGCACTGGAGGAAAAAGCTGAAGTTCAAGCATACTCTGAAAGAGAATCTTAAATAGCAGAAGGGCAATTCAAGTGGTGTTCTCCAAAGGGTCCACACCTCCATTTGAAATTTTTTTAGGGATCTGCAAATGAGGGGAAAAAAGGGGGTTTGAAAACCTCTGATCTATATGAATTCTTCACTTAATAGCAAGGACCTTGTGAAAAGAAGACACCAGGATTTCCTCCTAGACTGGATCATTTGATCAGCCTTTTAGCCACAGACTACTGCAGCTGTCATGGTTACTGAGTGGAGTAGGAAGAGACCTAAATGAAATCAAACACACATCACATAGAAAGGGTAGTATCATGTTCAAGGGAATGGGGGGAGGCCTGGTTCAGCAAAAGCATATAAACATGCTTAACTTTAAATAGGTGAGCAGTCCCATTGATTTCAATTAGACTACCCAGGGATTTAAGGTTAAGCATGTATTTACTTAAGTGTTTTGCTAAAATTTATCTGAATTTATTCTAAAACCCCAGAAGTTAATTTTAATATGCTGAGTGCTACTGTATGTAAGGTAATGGGGGGGGGGGGAGAAATCACAGTACTGAATGCTTTACTA